TCAGATATATTTACCATTAAAGTCGGGAACGAGCACTTGCTACAGTCCCTGTTACTCTGTCTGGAAGAGGTCAAAATTTAGTTGTCTAAAAATGTTCTTCAGCTTAATGAAAAAAAATCTGACATAATTATTTTTGGTCCACCAAAATTGAAAAAGATGATTTAGAGTACTATTGCTCCTTTAGAAATAATTATAAAAAGCAGTGTAAGAAAACTGGGTATCATAATTGACTCAACTCTCAGCTTTGAAAATCAGATAAAGTCGGTAGTAAAAAGTAGATTTTACCAACATGATCACCAGGTTAAAACCCATTCTTAGGTTTAAAGAATTAGAGACCATTGTCCATGCATTTATTACCTCGAGATTGGATTATTGCAATTCTCTTTATGTTGGGATCTGTCAGCGACAACTATCTCGTCTGCAAATGGTACAGAATGCTGCAGCCAGGCTTTTGACAGGCACGAAAAAGGGATCATATTACTCCAGTATTATCCTCTCTCCATTGGCTACCAGTTCAGTACAGGATCGATTTTAAGATTTTATTGATGGTTTTTAAAGCACTTCATAACATGTCCCCAAGTTATATCACCAATCTTTTAGAGTACCATACATCGGCTAGGACACTGAGATCAGCAGATAAACTGTTACTGGCAGTTCCTCGTTCCAAAAGAAAGTCTAAAGGTGATAGAGCATTTATGGTTGTGGTTCCCAAATTGTGGAATAGTCTATTCGGGAGGCTCCATCCTTAGAAGTTTTTAAGTCTCAGTTGAAAACTGAACTCTTTTTACATTAGCTTTCGCAGAGGAAAGACCTTCGTAGAGACCTTTCGTAGAGGAACAACCCCAATGTGTAATGACCCTATAAAGGGTATTTGTCATCTGTTGGTTGGTTCATTCAGTGGTTTATTCTTAGTAATTATGTTAGATTTTATTGTTTTTAATCTTTGTATATGCTTTCTTTTAAATTGTGAAGCACTCTGGGCAACAAAATTGCGTTAAAATGTGCTATACAAATATATAAAAGTTGAAGTTGAAAAAGCCATACTAATCAGGCTCGCCCACAACCACTAACAGACTGTCCCGTATTAGCATAATAGTTTCCGTCCTTAGCCAGTACACGGTCTGTCATTTTCTCGCGCTCGAGCAGCTGTAGCGTCAAAGTCTCGTAAGCAATGCAGGTGTTTTGTTGTTGGATGTAAAAGTGAACATAAGAGTCTTCATTTTCTCTCGACATCAGATTAATTGAGGACGCAGTGGATTCATTTATGAAGGGAATGTGTCCAAGAAAATATGAAGTGTATGAGTGTATGAGTCAAAATATTCTATTTGCATAATATCCTATATCCAACATCAGCAAAACACTGAACTCAGGAAATGGTGTTTGTCCAACTATATATGTTGCAAAAGCCATCAGTGAGTGAGAACCTGTGGGTACACAAGAACAAGCATACAATACAGTCTCAAATTAGACACTTTCTAGAATATTAAAAATTAACATTTATATTTGACAAGCATTTATTATTATTACTATTATTTATTTTTTTTTTTTTTTCCCACAAGACAATGTTATAAACCTGAGCTGCTCTGTTTTAATAGTTCTCCTTTCTGTTGAATGTAACACTGTTTTTACATTTTCTAAACCTATTCAAATTCTGGAAACTGTCCAACATCACAGAGCATGCATAGCTTTTACTTATAAGACAAAATACGAAAACTGAGTTAAAGTAATAGTTCACACAATAATGAAAAATATGTCCTTGTTTACTCACCCTTACCCTCAATGCCACCTTTAAAAGAAGACATTTAAAGGGGTCACATGATGCGATTTAAATTTTTCCTTTCTCTTTGGAGTGTTACAAGCTCTTGGTGCATAAAAAAGATCTTTAAAGTTGCAAAGACTAAAGTCTCAAATCCGAAGAGATATTCTTTATAAAAGTTAAGAGTCAACCACACCTACCTAAAACGGCTCGTTCTAACATGCCCCCACATGTCTACATGCTGGAAGCGGAGTCCAGCCTGGGGTCGTCACATGTGGTTGCCGCAAGCTCGCTCCTTCGTCGAATCCGCCGGCCGCGCTGTTCTCAAGCCCGCCGGCCTCCGCTCACTCTAGCCCGCCGTGTGTGTGACGCTGTGTGTTTCGTTATGAAAGCGAAACTACTTGGTTTGGCCTTCCAAAAGAGGACATGACTAGAAATCAGTGGTTAAGTTGTATTTACAACACTGTTCCAGAACACTTCAACCCAAATATTCAGATGTGTGCAGCACATTTTATGGAGGACTGTTTTCTGATCCTGGTAGAGGACTACAATGCCAGCTGTTCTGACTCACAGACTGTAAGTACGTTTACTGTTTCCTGATCCTGGGAGAGTAGACTACAATGCCGGCTGTTCTGACTCACAGACTGTAAGTACGTTTTCATAAGTTTTCAATGCGAGTTTTGAGCAGTGTAGGGTAGCGCTTGTTGTTGGTCATTTCTCCGATCTCAAATGCAGACATGGTTTTATGTTTACACGGCGCGATGCGATGCAACGCAACGCGTAAATTTCAGACCGATGAGCTTTGTAAAAATCGACGCGTTTCAGAAAGGCGGGGCATAGAGGAGAAACAATAATGTACAGTATGTGGAAAATAATGTTTTTTAACCTTAAACCGCATAAACACATTTAATTACAAATACACAAAATAATGTTCTTTTTAGCAGCATCATATGACCCCTTTAAAAGAAAATGTCTAAGTGATTGAAAAAAAGATAGAAGGAGAAAATCAGTCGTAGTTGTTGGGCAAGACATGAGGAGAATTCAACTACAGGAAACCCACACTGACAGGGAGAACATGAGAACTCCAGACAGAAATCCCCGTCTCAATTGGTTCTTCAACCGGGGAACTTTTTGCTGTGAGGCAACAGTGCTTCACACTGAGCCACTGTGCGACCCAGTGCAAGCAATCTTACAAGACAAAGCCTTTACCTATACAGCACCTAGATGACCATCTGTTATACACAATTTCTGTTCGTGGATTCTTACGTAATGTTTCTTCGTTTAGGTCTGACAACCACATGTACTGTATGTGTATTCATCTGATAGATACTGGCCTAAGCTGTTTCGACAGAGTTTAATGATCAATTAAACATGGATCAATTCTATTCAGATCTATTCACCAATAGCCAGCAGTGGGACACACTAGCCTGCTGAATGCAACTCTTCTTTTTATATATACATTATATATATACACATCACTGTGTTTACTGGGCTGGTATTTTCAAAGTAAAGTGCCCAGTAAACACTCTTCACCACAGTGGAAAACCCCAAAACTTCAACCTTCTGTTACAAAGGACATTTAAATTTCAACATAGCAGAACATAAAACAGTTCTCAAGCTTTTTTTCACCTTGCTCCAGAAGATATAAAATATTGCCTTATTTCAACATAGTTTACCCTTCCCATAAATTCCTGTGCAAGACATGCTGGGAACTAGCAATTTCATGCCCATTTTCATTTAATGGCAACAAAACTTATTCACTTACCAACATAAATGGATTAACTAAACATCTGTTTTAGAAATTTAAGTGGATTGATCACAATTAAATTAGGTTGTGATAAAATATTCACAAATTGAGTGAATTAGGATTAAGAATTAGGTTTACATGTCACATTCGATCGCGTGACATGAGACACAGATACACATCTCACCAACGTTTCTGTGATATGCTCTGTTTTACACAGAAAGTGAAAACGACCAACTTTAGAGTTTTTTATTGATCAATAAGGTGTGTCATATAACACTGGATGTGTCAGGTGTTCAAGGTAGTGCACCAACTCCCATGTCATTGAAATGAATGTCTTTGCCACATAACAGAATATGTTTTTGATGCAAATACATTTATGCAATGGCTCAATTACAAATTTATTCCTGTAGCTCTACTAATCAGAGTATAGTGCTAGCAATTTTCAAGCTTATCAGTTTGTTTTCCTGGAAAACACACATAATGGCCAAAAAACGTATACCTTGATTGCACTGTAACTGTTATAATAATAAAAAAAAAAAAAAAAAAAAAATCCTACATCATTGTGGTTCGATCAGTCTTATTTTTGAGCAGCGTGTCATACTGAGGTGCATTCTTCATAAGAGGATACAGCTTGATGAGCGTTCTCCTTGTTGCAACTTTCCAATGTCCCATCAAAGACTCCAATAAGAGCCACCGAACATCCACAGGAAACAAATGAGACCAAATACTGTGTGTATATTACCTCATCAATTTGAGTCCATACAGGCTAATTTTTTTTCAAGTTGCATCTCGCACTAAAGCAGAACAAAGATAAAGACGTTACTGCATAATGCAAAAGATTACATTTAAAGAACAACTGAGATATAAATGCTATAATAATTATTGTATATGTTTTTGAAAAAAGTGTTGGAAAAAAAACAATATTTACAACATTTTTTATTTCATCACTTACTAAAGTAGTAAAAATATAATAATAAAATAATGTTTACTCACTTGGAGTCCGGGTGTAATGACTCTGGGTTGTCTTGGAAACTGAACCTAAATGAGAATGAAGAAGGTACACACTTACACCATAATAAAGTTTAGAGCATCACTAAACTACACTTAAGACTTAGATATGGTGAACAGATTAATTTTTCTTTTTCACTAAAGAACCAAGTATTTTCTGTTGCTTCACCAGTTTACTTGAATATCAGATAAATTGATCTTTGTTACCTTTCTACTTAAAATTTACCAGCAGCTCGTCTCTTCCTCCATATAATGAGTGCAGTTGTGATGAAAACAACCACACACATGAAAACTAGCACACTGAAAACTACAGACTGCGTAAATGATCCTGGGTCAGATTCAGCCACATCTGAAATTGGGGCGAAGCGAAAAAAAAAAAAAACAGAAATCAGTAAGCTACAGTTATATAAAGTTACTTTTTGTTATTAAACCTAATGTCGAATTTCATTTCCAAAGAGGCATTTTCCTTAATTGTTAGTTTTTCTTTACCAAAAATAATGTCCAGTTTGTTGTCCAGACTGAGGTGCTTCATTGTGCAGTTGTATTTATGTTCCTCACGTAGTTCTTCTTCACTGATCACCAAACTCTTCCTCATCTGGTACGTTCCGTCTCCGTTGGGCAGAATCTCTCCTCCTGTGATCTGATCATCATCCACAGGCTGACCATCTCTGAACAGGGTCAGGTTAATGTGACGGGGGTAAAAACCAGTGGCCAGACAGCTGATCTGAAGCCCTTGAGAGTCTGAGAGTGTCTTCTTCATGAGTCTGACTCTGGGCTTCACTACAGAGAAGGACGAGAAATGTTACTGTTGCTAAACTGTTGGGTTCGTTGCATCAGTCATTCATTTATCATAAGCAGGATTCATATAGCTTTCAGAGTCACATTCTCTGTTAGCACAGCTGTCTGGGTTATATTTTTTGATCATGCTTTTTTCTTAATTATACTCAAGTTAATAAGGTTGATCCTCTCACCTTTTCTCAGCACATTGTTCTTCTCCATATTCAGGTACCTTCTCAAAGTTTTAATGCAAATAGGATGATAAACATTTTCATACATAAAGTTTTCATGAACCCGTTTTAGTTGGTCCCATGTTATCACCCACGGCATTTTTATCTGGATAGCGTGTTTTCCTACATCAAAAATAAACTCCTCCATATTTTGTCCACCGAAAGCATCCCAGTAATGAAGTTGACCTGGTTTATTGCTGTTCAACAGTTCACATCCAACAAGTCTCTGATGAACATGTACACCTTCAAATGAATGAAAAAAAGTTAAGATGTATTATTCTTCAATAACATAGTACAATATAAGATGTGAAATAAAATAAAAAATTTGATGTAGAAGCAAAAAAGCTACATGTACTAAAGAGTACAATGACAAAAATTTGATTATTGATTTTAAGGAAAAGATAATAAACACATAAAAGCTACATGTGTTATTAAATGTTTTGTGTGTTGATATTGATATGTAGACTATAGCTCTCACCGTCTGTGTGATTTTGGTGCTCCTTAAGATAAAAGGCTCGATCTTTCATGTCATAATACATATCACGCAATACAACACCAGCATCACTTTGCTCTTCATCGTAATATTTTGATTCACTGTGAGAGCGATAGACAGGTTTCCACGTGGTTGAGTCATAATACGCTATTTGCACATCATCCAGCATCACCACAACACTAAACTCGGGAAATTGTGTTTGTCCAACTATATATGTTGCCAAAGCCATCAGTGAGTGAGAACCTGCGGATACACAAGGACAAGCATTCAATATTAGTACAATGTCAAATTACATCATTACTGTAGATGCAAATTTGCATTCCTGCAAACCTCTACAGAAAGGGACACAGAGGCCAGAAACCATCAAGTTATTTTTATTTGTTTGGTTAGAAAAGCCAAAGGCTGTGGAAAGAAAAAATGGCTTGACTTGTTGTCAAAGGCTGTTTACATGAACTGCAATGCACATCGACAACAAGGCATGCAGCTCATATTGAATACTCAAAAAAATGTGTCTCCCTTCTTGGACCTTCAAGAATACCTTTACCGATCCACAGGTTCAGTAGGAGTAGAGTGGGTTTTAGTGATAGGGACAAATAAGGTACCTACATGGCAACATCAATGTATTATGTTAATAAAAATTATCATACACTGATTATGTTGTTATTAGGCTATTACTGTTTTATAATGTACTACAATACACTGAAGTGCAAATACTAGCTCTCATTTACACTAATTATAAATAACATCTAAACACTTTTTACACTTAGTGTTCGCTATTTGTACTTCGTGTAAATAACATCTAATGCAAACAGCCTCTGCAAAAAGAAAAAGAAAAAACTCAAGCATAAAAACAGCTATAAGATGTTTAGGTAATGGAAGGTAAAAAAACGTTGAGGACGAAGACCCATCTTTCTCTCACATTACAATAAATCTACATTTTCTACATATAGCATCATATATTTGTAAATTGCAAAGTGTCAGAACTATTATGACAGCGCCGGAACTTTTATTTGGACAGCGATAGGACCCCGCGCCTAGGCAGATGCACAGTGACAGAAGCTCACTTTATCCGTCTATCAAGTTAGAAGACAGAAATTTTAAACAAATAAAGTAAACGGTCCAATAAAATGTGTGGTCATTACGGTCAATGTTTTACTTCAACACTAAAATATACTAAAAGTCACAGACTGCTAATTAGGCAAAAATTCCCAGGTGAAAAAGAAATATATTTAAATTGTGCTTTTCTCCATTAGGCCTGATTCAAAAATCTCTATAACAGAGGTGATACAACATGAAAATACACTTACTATTCCTTTGCTTGTCTCTGCACTCAGATTTCAGTTTGTCTTCTATAACAAATGTTAATATTTCACACACACACACACACACACAAACTAAACATACTTCTTGAATTTCAAGTATATTTTTAATACATTTAATACTACGTCTTTTTCACCTGGGTTGTTCGCATGACTTTACACATTTTCAGACGTCACAGCTTTTTTAATTAATTAGGCAGTAAACAACCTAACCAGTATTTTCCAAAAGAAAGATTCTCAAAACTGCACTATTCCCCAAAAACTTAACCAGCAAAAACCAAGCTAGCATTTGCAGCAAGATTTAGTGCACAGACATTCAAAAACACAGATGTTCTCACCTCACCATATGGTTGAAATATACAGGATAGCAGCACTAACATACCTGCGTTAACGACTGGCCAAAAAGTCAACATACACACAAGAGTGAGCATTTTCTCAAATAATTAACACCTGTGGCTCAGAAAAAAAAAGTACAGGTGAAATGTACTTTTAAGAGTGTCCTCTTATCGTGAATATTATCCGTTATCAGCAGTTTGTTGTTGTTCTTCTTCTTCTTCTTGCGGCTGGCAACCAGCGTAATTAGGTGCATTACCGCCACCTTCTGCTCCGGAGTGTGGAACAGAGAGTTACATTCTACTTATTAATCCCGTCCTTTTAAGAAAATTAAAGAAAGCTTTACTATTTATTTCACTTGCCCATTTTATTAAATATTTAAAATGTACCACCTGAATTCCATTCTTCTTGATTTCAACTATATTACTTCTTTCTTCCTCATATTTCTTACATTCAAGAATTGCATGGGTCACTGTTTCTTCTGCTTTGCATTGTTCACATAGTCCATTTGGATGCTTCCCTAATATTTTGAGTGTACTATTAAGATTGGACAGTTTGTTGTTGTTTTTCTTCTTCGTTTTTGGCGTGTAACAAGGCAGTTACTGCCACCTGTCGGTGTGCGTGAAGTGTCTTGTCTTCAGTCTCTGATAACAGTTTCACACCAACATCAGGGGCGTCGCTAATGTGGGGAGAAAGGGTATGGGATGAAATTAGACTCAAAATTATTAATAGATGCACGCACAATTATCCATGTACTGCATAAATTTTATACATATCTTACTAACCACAAACAAATGCCTTTCAATTTAAGTCTGTGGAATTCAGGATTAAATTATTGTGCAGCGATTTGTACAAATACATATATGTTTGGGAATAAAAATGTTCTGTTCTGCATTAATATATCATAAATTGCTCGTGCAAAAAGGAATCCGTGCATATGTGGATCAGGTGACACACGTGCATTAATTGACGTCTAGTTCGAGTC